ATTAAATACCTAAAAAAATAGGGTGAGTCTCTTTTCAGTTTAACATTATGAATCTATGTACTTTTACCTTTAATTTGATATATGATATGTATTTTTTGATGTGTTAGTTAATTTGTTATGTTAATTTTAAGAAATGTAAACAAAGCATTTACGGCGAAACTTGCCGGCAAGCATACAGCCGGGAAAGACGAAAATATTTTTTTTTTTCTATATTTCAATTATATAATTACTATTGATAATCTTCTGATTCATTTTTCTGTATATATATATTTTTTTTTCACACTTCTCTTCTGTCATGTAATCTGTGTTCGTGAGATTGTGTTTTACTGAGAAATATTAAAATTTCTTCTACGTTCCGTTGTGATTTAATATAATACTCAACGTTGTTATTTTATGTATCTCTTATTATGTTTACAGACCAAGTCGATGAACAGAAAAACCGAATGAAACTTTAACCGTACGGTCAACTTTTAGACCGGTTTGAGATTCCGTGCAGTGAAGACGTGTTCCCCCTGTGCTCCGCGGACCGCAACTTGGAAGAATTTCGTCCCGATGCCTTACCTTCTTCGCTTCCGCGACGGTTTCGACCTTCGCCGTACCTTCGTCTCGGCTTACTTCAAAGTGTGTTTTTTCTTATTTTTATTTGGCGTGGTGTACCCGCCAGGATTTTATTCAGTGCATTCGTTTTGTGTTCATCGTTTTGTGCTTCAGTGTGTGTTTACAACGATTTACAATCATTTCTTGTGCCCTCGATAATTTCGACATGAGTGGCTAAAAACCACGAAAGCTGCCCCGGTGAGTCCTTCCATACATTATTTTTATGAATCTATATACATTACTGATTTTTTTGATATAAGATGTTTGTTTTTATGTACATTATTTTGTATTCTAAGTACATTTTGTTACGTAACGTACGTAAATACTCATAAACAGATTTGCATGAATAAACCTACATATTAGAATAAAAACTATTACGCTTTATTGTTGATTTATATGCATGATTTATTAGAATGAATGCTCGGTGCAGTCCTTTAAAAAAAAGTAAGTAAATAAATTATGCAACTGATCTGGAGACAATGTTAACACTTCGCGTTTCATACTAAAGTGAAAATGAGAATATAGAAGTTATAAATAAGTGAGTTTAATATAAATGTATGCATGCATAACGGCTTATTATATGTGTATAAACAACAGATGTTGATATATATGTAATAAAACCCGTTGTGCTCTTTTTGGGATTGTGACCTATAAATAACGATTTTTCATAAAGCACGACCCCCTAAGACACGATTCGCATTTTTTGAATGTTTAACTGTAAATGCTGCGTATTTTTTGTTTTTCTTTACCGCAAATGCTAGGAAACGTACATATTTTTATATATAATTTTTTTTTTTTTTTTTTAATTAATAAAATTAATTTTTTAGAAAAAAATCTTTATTGTAGACGGTTTATGAGAAATGTCATGCTTTTGCTTAATTGTTTACATCAGTTATTGGGTCTGAACGGCCGAGTGTCTGGCGCTCGGTGCCACAGGTTTCGTGTTCGAGTCCCGGCGGTGCGGTGCAATGGATATTTGTAGTGGTTCGGAAACCAATTTAAGCCGTAAGTCGCAGTCTCTTGTGACTGTAACAGCGTCACGGAGCAGAAGTCAGACTTCTACCTACGGTTGCGCCATGAGAACAGATGCTGCAACCATCCTCCCATGAGCGACACAACAACATCAGTTATTAATCGATTTTTAATGATTAAATAAGAACTTTTTTTTACTGATTACGCAAATCTGAACAACTGCAAATATATGGTAAGTAATTTATAATATAATATATTATTCCTAATTTAAATGAACTATATTTATATTTTATATATATATATGTAAATATAATATTATTAAATATATATTTTATATGAATAACTTGTTTTTCTTATGAATATATATATGTAACAATAGATATAAATAATTAATATGTGTATACTGCTGTGTGGTAGAGAATTTTTTCTAAGTCCAAAAATGACGACATCGGTATAAGAGCCGTACAAGGTGTGGCATGTGAAAGGCCGCATGCACGCGATTTTTGGTTGACGCTTCGAGTGAGATAGTTCACCGCGGAGCGTAATCCCTTGAGTGGGGAACGACGTTTTTAATACGAAGAGGTAGGACCTCGTGTTTTGTCTTCTTTGGGTGGTGGTCGACTGCTGAAAATGAATAGCAGTCGAAGTGAGAGAGCGAGCGAGACGAGACGCGCTTGTGTCGCGTGTGTTCTCGCGAGTCTGGATTGGCAACGAAGCTGTGGGCATTCTCGTGTGTGGCTACCTGCGGGTTTCGCTTCTGTTTCGTTGAAAGCGGGTGGATTTCGCGGAGGATAGGTTCTCTATCGTTCTGCGGGCCACTTCGCCCCCGGTCCGGGCGTTTCGCGGAAAGCGATGCGCTTCCCGTCACCTTCACTCTTTCCCCGGGTTTTCCGGGGGAAAAAATTTCCCAACCCGTCTTGGCTACTCTGCGATCGGCTCGGCCTCCGTGCCGTTGCCGTACAACGCAGAACCGTAATTAAAGGAATTGTTTGGTTTTCTGCGCGTATGTCCTACGCCCTTTAAAAATCTCGATGTCCACGAACTCTCCCCTCGGCGTCGACGCCGTTGGGGATGTCGTGAGTGCAGAACCGTCTAGAGAAAGCCCTGTCGAATCTCGATTCGAAGCGTTGTGTAACAGAGGGACCCACCGTCGTCGTGGTCGTCCCCCGCGATCCTGAATGGGTCGCGACACGCCTCTCGGATTCGAAAAGGTGCCTAGCACTTCTTCGAACGTTCGTAAGAACGAGGAAGTTACCTGGTTGATCCTGCCAGTAGTCATATGCTTGTCTCAAAGATTAAGCCATGCATGTCTAAGTCCATGCCGTGTTAAGGCGAAACCGCGAATGGCTCATTAAATCAGTTATGGTTCCTTGGATCGTACTATTCTACTTGGATAACTGTGGCAATTTAGAGCTAGAGCTAATACATGCAGCAGAGCTCCGACCTTCGGGAACGAGCGCTTTTATTAGACCAAAACCAATCGGGCCTTTCCCAAGGTCCGTCTTCCGTGGTGACTCTGTATAACTTTGGGCTGATCGCACGGGCTCGTCCCGGCGACGTATCTTTCAAGTGTCTGCCTTATCAACTGTCGATGGTAGGTTATGCGCCTACCATGGTCGTAACGGGTGACGGGGAATCAGGGTTCGATTCCGGAGAGGGAGCCTGAGAAACGGCTACCACATCCAAGGAAGGCAGCAGGCGCGCAAATTACCCACTCCCGGAACGGGGAGGTAGTGACGAAAAATAACAATACGGGACTCTTTTGAGACCCCGTAATTGGAATGAGTACACTTTAAATCCTTTAACGAGGATCCATTGGAGGGCAAGTCTGGTGCCAGCAGCCGCGGTAATTCCAGCTCCAATAGCGTATATTAAAGTTGTTGCGGTTAAAAAGCTCGTAGTTGGATCTCAGCTCGAGCCGGGCGGTCCGCCTACCGGTGGTCACTGTCTGTGCTCGGCGTTATCGCCGGTTTCCCCTGATGATCTTCACCGGTTGTCTCGGGTGACCGGCAAGTTTACTTTGAAAAATTAGAGTGCTCAAAGCAGGCGCGACGCCTGAATAATGGTGCATGGAATAATGGAATAGGACCTCGGTTCTATTTTGTTGGTTTTCGGAACACGAGGTAATGATTAAGAGGGACAGACGGGGGCATTCGTATTGCGACGCTAGAGGTGAAATTCTTGGACCGTCGCAAGACGAACTACTGCGAAAGCATTTGCCAAGAATGTTTCCATTAATCAAGAACGAAAGTTAGAGGTTCGAAGGCGATCAGATACCGCCCTAGTTCTAACCATAAACGATGCCAGCCAGCGATCCGGCTGTGTTCCTCAAATGACACGCCGGGCAGCTTCCGGGAAACCAAAGCTTGTGGGTTCCGGGGAAGTATGGTTGCAAAGCTGAAACTTAAAGGAATTGACGGAAGGGCACCACCAGAAATGGAGCCTGCGGCTTAATTTGACTCAACACGGGAAAACTTACCCGGCCCGGACACAGGAAGGATTGACAGATTAAGAGCTCTTTCTTGATTCTGTGGGTGGTGGTGCATGGCCGTTCTTAGTTGGTGGGGCGACTTGTCTGGTTAATTCCGATAACGAACGAGACTCTAGCCTACTAAATAGACGTCCCGATCCTCTTGCGTCGGACGTTCTTCTTAGAGGGACAGGCGGCGTTTAGCCGCACGAGACAGAGCAATAACAGGTCTGGGATGCCCTTAGATGTCCGGGGCCGCACGCGCGCTACATTGAAGGAATCAGCGTGTTCTCTCCCTGTCCGACAGGACTGGGTAACCCGTTGAACCTCCTTCGTGCTTGGGATAGGGGCTTGTAATTGTTCCCCTTGAACGAGGAATTCCCAGTAAGCGCGAGTCATAAGCTCGTGTTGATTACGTCCCTGCCCTTTGTCCACACCGCCCGTCGCTACTACCGATTGAATGATTTAGTGAGGTCTTCGGACTGGCTCTCGGATTGGCCTTCGTGGTCGAGCCGAAGTGCCGGAAAGATGACCAAACTTGATCATTTAGAGGAAGTAAAAGTCGTAACAAGGTTTTCGTAGGTGAACCTGCGAAAGGATCATTATCGTTTTTTATTTTTTGTAAATAAAAATGATAAAAAAAATCACGGGTTCGCTTTTTTTTATAAAAGTGTTCCCAACCCTATTAGTGTTGGCCTTCTGCCCTGACGGCTTAGGCGAAACACTCATTTTCGAATTAATAAAGACGCCAACTTATGGGTGTGCCTAAAATAAAGGTCCCGGCCCTTGACTTGGGCAAGAGGGAGGTTCTCGTCTTTAAAAAAGGCGAGGGCTAGGCTTGAAGAGATGTACCCAAAGGTACACCGCCCCGTGGCGTTCCTTCTCTCTTAGGAGAGAAGTGTCATGAACTCATTCTCGAACGCACTACGGCCTTCCTGAAAAGGTTGGTCATACATAAAAT